ATAAAATGTAATGCATCAAAATGTTCCTCACAAATGAATTTCTTGTTAAAAACATTTGGTCAATAGTCCGTTTTGGAAAGATTACTATGGAAAATTAGAAAAAGAGAATGAGAGAGAGGGCGGAGGTAATTTCCTGGAATTCATGTTGTCTTTGCACATCATTTGCTTTTAGGTTTAGTGACTATCACCTGGGTCAGTTCACATCAAGTTACGATTTCTTGCTTGAGATACTCTGACACTGAGGCAGTTGTGGCTATCAAACCTTCTCCAGATAAAAAAAAAAAAAAAAACCTGGTCTTTCCTGTCTGTATTGCTGCATTGTGAAACTGCTTGTCTGTAAAGCTGCAAAGTTGGACAAATTCAAACTTGTTCACTGAAAGTTTATGTAAAGTTCAAGCCGGCTTTCCGCAACGACATTCTTTGAATTTATTCATTGTTTAAATGTCCAGTTTTGGTTATTAAATATTGAGATTTCTTCATACTGTGGTCTTTCTCTTTCTTAAAAAAGTGCTTCATCAGTTATGTTTATTATTATAATGGATACTTGAAAACACTTCATATAAGAAGTGGAAATACCTACAATACCAAGTGACATTTGGTCATCACCTGTCAGACTTCCATTTACAATAATGAACATATTTGGACTTTGATAGAGCCAAAGAGAAATGTTTACACCTTCAGTGGAACACCTTTACCTGGAATTATTTATTCAAACTTACAACAAGAATACTATCAGTGAAGAGACTCCCACGAGATATTGTGGAAAAAACTCATTAATATGGTTAACTTACAGTTTTACATTTTTTTTAATGTCACAAATTAAAGACGCTTATCTGGAATTCACATCATAGTTTGAAGCAAAAATGTTTTATTTTGCTTTCCTCTGCTTTCGCTATCCCTGAGTGAGACAGTGTGTTCATTCAAAAATCCCATTAAGCTGTAAATCCTTTGACTGCAGCAAAATTGAAAAATCTGCTTTGTGGTCACAGTGACACTACCTGCAGGCCTATTTTTTAGTTCCCTGTGGCTTTTAGTCCAGTGAAATCAACCTCATTAGAGTGACTATATGAATGTAAAGCTGTTAGTACTTCAGCTGGAAGACTTTCTGAGTAAAGGGCCATTTCTATTAATTTGGTCCAGAAAAGGAAACATGCTTTATCTTAAAAGCTAATCCATTAGCAGCTATATGAAGTGGTAAAAAGGGTA